TCTAACCTAATCTATGTGTATAATAGTAAAACACTTGGATTTGCAATGTAGTGCAATCTTTTTTACACATTTATTGACACCTTGAAAATTACACACCTAAATAAGTTATACACCTCCATTTGTGTGAAAAGTCACACACGCCAATAAAATGAAATATCCATTCGTGCATGAAAAAGTCACACACTTACAGACGTCTTGAAACGGCGGACGCACATCACATGCGATAAAGTGTGTGATATTCACACACTGCTTCTCACAGTGTGAAGCAGTGTGTTTCATGCTAGGCTAAAAATGGTATGTGAAGTCTTGACGTCATCCAAGTTGGTCGCGTACTCGTTCAAATATCACGTGCGCCGGCCAGACACGGTCGTTTTTAAATAGACACGGAGCCCGTCCTGCGAGCGAAATCTTGAAATTCGGCTCGGCGAAATTCACGAAAGTTCGTCTGAGTCCGTTTTGTCGGGGCGTAGGAGAGCGAAGCACGTAAAGATGATACACGGCGAACGACACGAATAGCAAGTCGGCGTGTTATGTTGTTATGTAAACTTCATGAAATATTCCGACTGAAAGTATCAATTTCCCGAACCTCCGTGCGCGCACGTATGTTACATTTTTTTTCTTTCATGTCTTCCAAACCGCGAAATTTCTCACGTGTTATTCAAATTTCGTCAAAGTTGAGATAGCCTCTTTACAGACGCGCACTTTGTGCATTTCGTTCCTCATTTTTTTTCCCCTTTTCCCGATAACAAAACTTTCGATCGAACATATTAAATTGAAACGGTTTTACTCGTTGTTTATCCAGAGCCAACGGCAGATGATGCGTCTATTTGACGTGTGTTCATTTCGATATTTCACAAATCAAAATGCGCCACGTTTCCGCGACGAGTTATTACATTGACGCGCGCAATAACAATATTTTCACCTCGGTGCTGCTCCGGGCGGGTATTCGTCGGGTGAGCGCGCGTGTTGCCTAAATATGTCATACATTAAATACAACTAGGTCGCAATCTCTCCAGAATTCCCGATGAAATGCTTAGACTTAGCGTACGATTACATTTGTCGTACGACAAATTTTTCAAGCGTGTTAATCAGCTGCTGACAGAATATTTCTGGATACTCATAAATTTTACTATCTCGCAGCCTAATCGCAGCATAATTACTAATAAAATGTATGGTAAAATTTAAAAAAAATCATATTAAGGAACAGATCAGTGGATTAAATTCGCAGGATACGGAACTTTTCGATTCCTCGTATTTTGACTTACTAAATTACTCTTTAATCTTTATTCTGCTTTTGGCTTGACCTTTGCCTCGACTCGGTCAGTTACGATCCGGTGAAGATGTAAGATCGAAGCTAAGTTACTTGTCTTTGTATCTAATTAAAAACTCACCGTTAATTTTATGGAGAAGTTATACTTGGACCGTATTCACGTTTACCAACGTGACATAGGAGGACACTTGCTTGAAACGTACGTTTTTAACTGGACTACATCTTTTCGACCAAAGGCTTCGTTCTTGCATCACAAGTAACCCTATTTCTTGGTCTTCACGCGCATTAATTAACTGTTTCCATTATTTTAAATTATTATTTATGATATATTTTTTTAGTTAATTTGAATACGTTGATGGACACTAAGTATAGTCGAAACGTTCGTTCGTTAACTTCTAAATTTTCAACTCGGTCCTTTTAAGATATAAATCAATCACATTGTAAGCGCTTTTTAGGACCTGGCAGAGATGGACGTGGCCATTGACAGCAATGATTCCACCTAAGGGGAAAAAACCTGTGTTTGTCCGTTTGCAACGGTACGCAGGACAGGATGGAATAAATACGGTATACGGATTCACATGATAATTCAAGTGGCCACGTCCATCTGTGCCTGGTCCTAAAAGGCGCTTACAATGTAATTGATTTATAATAGCTTGGTTTTAATTTATCATTTTAAGTATAACGATTTTGTTTCTATTTAATTTTTGTATATTGCGGAATTTGTGCAATGTTTCTTTAGTCGTCCGTTTGAATTTATAATAACTATTATTGTTAACCTTTTAGTAGCTCGTTTTATTATTAGTCTGTTTCCTTTAAGACTAAAAATATTCCCATAAAATGTTTCGAAGTGTCGCGTTGTCCCACGATTACACGATTTTCAGGATGAATTTTGAAAGGAAATTCTCTCCTTGTGTCCGTATAATGCCCGTTTCTGCCAATGCAGTTTAACTGTAATCTCGGTTTCAATTACTTGTTATCCTTATCTAATTTTCAACACTAGAAAAAGATATAAAGTAAGTTGAACCGGGGTCAAAGTTAATCTGCATTGGTAGAAACGGGTATCGGTCTATGATGAAATGCTCTCTAATTCGGTGCCCGATTCACGTCGGCGTTACGTGCAACGCTACATTCGCCGGTGCCAATAGCACTTCGTTTGTTATCAAAGTAAGATGTCCGACGTGCCGTGACCTGCGTCAAAGGATCGTCGTCTCGTTTTACGTTCGGGCTTTAATGAGTTCGGGTGAACGGCACCGGGTATAAACGCGAACGCTCGTGCCATTCGTGCTCGCTCGCTGTATTACTCACTTCGGAGCCACCGAGGACAGTCGGCGAACGATAAGATGGCACAAGACGCGATAATGCGACGCTATTTGTCAAGGCGTTTCGCTATTCCGCGCGCGGTTGCAGAATTACCCTGTACAAGCGGAGAACTGATCTTCTGGGAGATGTTTCCATAAGGAAACTAATTTGGTTGATGCTCCACTTTAGAACGCGCCGTATTCGGCCGCGAGAGTTCGCTTTTTTTTCTTCTGCATCGCCCGCTTTTTCGGCGGTCCACGCGGCGTCCGTCGTTTTCGCGAACTTGCACAAATTTAAAACCATTCGGAGCTTTTATTTAATTCGCGGATTCTGCGGAGCATGGCTGCTGGATTAATCCTTGCCGGGTGCGCGTGATGCTGCGTTACGAGCGCACGAACAAGCACGAAGCATCGTAATTGTTCTTTTTCTGACAAACGAGAATCTGATATTACGATTGTGCTCGCTTGTAAATAAATGCGTACATAATATATGACGCGTGTGAAATTAAATCAACAATTGCGATTAAGTAATTGCGCATGTGCATTTGTGCATGTGCATCTGCGCGCGCATTCCGATGCTGTAAATACGCTTCTCGCGTAAAAATTGTAACGAAAGCTTCGCCGTAAATTATAAATCGCGTCTACATTGTAGCCGCAATTAATATTTATTTATTCTTTCTTACCTGCCAAATCTTAGCCCGGGGCTGCACTGAGTATCTATCCATCCACAATAGGATTTTTCCTCCGCGTTCCACCGCGCTTTCCTAATTAGGTGAATTCTCTACTTCCGAACTTTCGGAGGCATCTTTTATTTCTTTAATTACGACGCGAATAAATCGTATCCGTCAGCTATTTTAGTCTATTTCCTGAATCATTACGGACGGTAACGGTTTCGTGAGAGGGCCCGATTAACTTCAAACTCATGTTCGGCCTTTCGCTCGTTTCGCCGTAACTATCGACAGCGCCGTGGAAACAGACTTCTCCTTTTGCCTTACTACTAGTCCAGCAGTTACTTGCCGAACTTCAGCAGCGACTATATAGATACGTATAGTCGATCGTATGGTTCACAATCGAAATTTGATCATCGGAGCTTTCGCCACGCGCCCGCCAGCAAGTTCGACTCTAATTCCCTTCCTTATTCTTGCCGAATTCAATTCAGTCGCGTAACGGCCAATTTTGCCGTCACGAGTTGGAAATCATTTTTAGATTTAGACCGAAATACCTGCAGCTCGTGTCGCGCGCTTTTGTTACCTTCGCAAATTTCTTTCCCTAAGAAAAAAAAACCGCTCCTCTGCGCATCGCAACGTCTCTCGGTCCAGATGAGTTAACTACAATAAAATAGATATCGGACGATTATTAATTACCCGCGAATAGAGAAAATGGACGCTGGAATCTGTCATTGTAATGCCATCCATTAAGCGGTTAACCGAGGATTACTGCGAATGCGCTTATGCAAGTTCAGTTGTATTTGTCACGACGGCCGCACCAACATCATCATAATCATCCCATCGCGCCGATGCGTTTTGTTGCGATATAATCGTTTATTTGCGCGTCGCGCTAAATGGGTAAGTGTGTCGAACCGGTATTACGCAGTCGGTTATTTGCAAAACAATTGCATCACCGTACGTCACCGTTTCGCAAACAAAAGGATTCGGTTATTAAATAATACGTGCCATGCGCTCTCAGTTTCGTCCCCTCTCTCTCTCTCTCTCTCTCTCTCTCTGCATGTATCCCTTTTTCCCTCATCCGAGAAACGAGGAATAGAGAGGACGAGACGGAGGGACGAGGGCGCGAGGCGCAGAAGAGGAAGGAAGTTTGCAAACACTCGCGCGCGCGCACACCCATGGCGAAACATTGTAATGCAAATCCGCGACGCGCACGTCAAGAAGCAGGAAAAACGAACTCCCCCCTCGGTGACAATTAATATCACAACGCTCGCGCCCGCAAGAATTCCCACCGCGTCCTTCCGACTCCGCGCGCGTGACACGAATGCACGCTGAACGCTATAACCTGCGGTTTTCCTCGTCTTTGTGTTGCAGGGTAAGACCAGCCCGCCCGGACCGACGTCTCGACGCCGCCGCCGCCGCAGCCGCCGCCGACGACGACGACGAGCGAAACTCGCGGCGCAGTGCCGTCTCGTTTTCGCTGCGACACGACTTCATCCGTCAGCGACGTGTCCGCTTCGCTCCCGACCGCGTTTTCTCGAGGGGAGCGCGGCGCGAGAATCCACCGTGAGAGCCGCGAGTTCCGTCGAGCGTCGACACGCGCCAAGAGTCGCCCGCGATTCCGCTCGATCGTGGGATATAACGCGAGAATTGGTCGTGCGTAACGCGTGTACGTGCTGCCCGAGGCGCGTTGATCGCGACGTCGCGCGCGCCCTTCAGTGCCGGAAACACCGTCCGGGATAATCGTGGGACTCGTCGTCGTCATTCGCCGTCGACGACATGATCTTCAGAGTGACGTTGTTGGTTGTGTGCACGCTGCTGGCCGCTGCGAGATCCGAGCCAAGACCGCGGCCGCGTCCAGTGCCGATCTACTCGAATCAGTTCGCCGTTTACGTGCCCAGCGGAGCGGTGACCGCCGACGAGATCGCCCAGGAGCACGGATTCGACAATCATGGACAGGTAAGTCCGCCGAGTCTCTCTTGCTTTAAACAATTTTTCCATCGACGTTGCGAACGGAATGCGCTAACACGTGATGAAATAGTTGAAACGTAAGTTTAGTGATATCTTTGTGAAATTTTCACAAGTAGAAACACACGGAATATGCGGAGCAAAAACGCGAGCCACCGGGATTTATGTAATTTTCTCCATTTCCTTGATTTTATATTCCTTTTTAAACAAATTTAAAATGCGCGAGGGTTCACAAAATTTTGTCGGCGAGAGCATAATTTTTACTTGCTAAATATTCTCAAGTTTTTCACATCGTGAGATTAAAAGAAAAAATTGCAGGGGGATTACTGTCGAATTAAATTACAGAAATTCCTTGGAGCGATGTTCTCGCGCGCGGTTCTGAATTTCTCGAGTATCCCCTTGCACTTTGCAAGATTACCGTGAGACCAGTTAGCTTTTGACAAGGCGCATTCGCCGTTCTCCACGTCGAATCACGTATTGACGTTTATCCGTCCCGGCGTCGACGATGAGATTAGATGCTCCGTTACGGGCGACGCCGCGTGGTCGTGCGACGAGATCATAGACGAGGAAAGGGCGTCGATCATGTCGAGCGGCTTGGGGGAAAGAGGCAGGCAGGGAACTCAATCTAACGAGACAGATTGGATGGTGGCACTGCCGGAGGGCCCTCCAACGTTATTGTTTGTATCAGAAATGGCTGTTTGACGTAGGGTGTTCTTCGCGGTTTAGAGCGATAATAATGCGCGAGCAAATAAGAGTTGTGAATTAAGATTAATTCGCGAGACCGGTGCGCGCTAAGATCTATTTTAATTCGCAAGCCGGAATATTTTGCCTACAGATATTATACCACAATATTATACATCGTCGTGTCACTTATTACGCTAAAGCAGATTAATGCAAATTAATCAATTAAGATAAATCATTCCTGCATAGAATTTTCATTAGTCTTCTATAAATGAGAATTAAAATTAACGATGTGAAGTATATTATAGTATCGCGAACATTTCACTGACAAACCTCGGAGTTTTTTTTTCTCCGCGGTTTCAAATCTCGATTTTTATTTCAAACAAACTTGAAAAAATCGTTAGGGAGTTAAAAGTGATTGGGGACGAAGATAGATTAGTGGTAAACACGTAAAATATTCGTAGGTTCGATCTTTCGCCGCAGAAAAGTCGGGTTTAAATTGGTCTGCGTATGCGGCTGAAACTGTGATCGAAGTTCGAAAACACCTTGCGCAGTGTACAATGCAACTGCCTTGCGTGTCGACGGCATCGCGTTGATCGGTGCTTAACGAGTGCGACTCCGATTACTTGGGAGTAACAGACGGCGAAAGAGTGATCGGTAACGCGTTTCGCTCCAGTCTCGTTTCGCGCAAGTATGCGCGCCGTTGTCTACGGATGCGGGAAGTATGGCCGGTTCACCGCTGATAAGGCGGTTGATAAATACCGTACCGTGTATCCCGAAGTCGTGCATCGCTCGCGGTCAGGCAACGGCGAACGTGACAGAAACATCGCACGCTAAATAGTCGTTCGTATACCTTGATCGCACGCCAAGTACTCGTTCATATTGCGAGGCATATTGCTGCAAATATGGACCCACTGACCGATATATACAAAGGGTTCCGAGATTCGCGCGTAGTAAAACTCATTCAGTAATCCGCACTCCATTCTTTTTCCTCGCACAAAGCTTCGCCTTCGTTCATAATGTCGTAGTATCCCGGTAGTTGAAATCCCTGGAGGAAATCGTGACATTAACGAGGAACTGAAATCAAGGTTTTGTTATTTTTAACAGCGCGTAGAATTGTCACTTTTACATTTTTATTAAAAGGAAAACTCGTCCCTCCTTAGCTCGAGTAGAAATCTTATTACGTCACAGACGAATTTCATCTCTAGGTAGAGTCACCTTCCATCTTCTATCAAATCGCACGGATTGCTTTTCATCCGACTCACACTTGGGTTATGTAACATTTAAAATGTAGAAACGCCTTCGTGATATACAGCTTCGAAATATCATGCAAACCGTACGTAAACCGTAGTAGAAACTGTGCATAAACTCAGCATGATATATAAAATATTTCCTACCCATATGCTGACCGCACAGGTTCTCTCGTCAAGACCAGATCTCTGTCAAGGTTCTCAGCATTTGAGCGATTTGCATTTACAGCGTGTAAAACACCGGTTACGACATTAATTTGTCGCGGTAACACAATTGCGTAACTACTCGAGTTGAAAGTGATGCAATGGAAAAAGTAATTTTAGTGGCAAACATATAAATTACGTATAATTACGAAATATATTCGGAACGATACTAAAATTTTAATAGAGCGCAGAAATTGTCATCAGTTATATTTGAGAAAATATATTTTAGAAAATAATTTTATTATATCGAGTACATAACGTACAACAACTTCGTGCGATGTCAATTAGTTTCGCTGAGAACCAGTTTGTGCGCTGTTTTGAAAATAGCTATCCCAATACTCTTATTCTTTTAATACTTTTGCCATCAGTCGCAAGGAAAAATGGCGAAAATTCGTAATCACCGTTTAGTCGCGAGTAGAGACCCTGTAATCAGAGACTGGCCATAAGAGTTCGTCAAATTCCCGCGAGTGAGAGAGAAACATCTCACTTTTCTACGATCGTAGAATCGTTGTGTGTTTCTCACTCGCGGGAATTTGACGAACTCTTATGGCCAGTCTCTGATTACAGGGTCTCTAGTCGCGAAAATACGGAAGAGTTTCGCCGCTTCTTTTTCTCCGGTATATTCACGCGCTTTCGCGTTCCCCCAGTCACGAGTAATAAACTTTTTATACCCATCTGCGCCGCGAAGACGGGAGAGATCGCGCTCCTGTATTTTCTTCGCTCTTTAATTCACCGGCGCAGCGAGAATTTTCGCTCGGCGGATCCGACGACGCACCTGCAAAATCTGACTCCGGCAAATGAACGAGTGAGTAATCGAACCGAGTCGAATGTCGTTGCATGTAAAATGAGCGAGTTTCGCTGTACGGTTATGCGATCCCGTCAGCGATATTCTCGATCTCGGCGGGATAAGCGACAAAGCGCCAGCGGAGCCTTTTATGGCGGGATGAATTTGCGGCGGCGCGGAAATTCCGAAGGATAACTAAGCGCTGAAAATGGGGAAACGCGGGGTAGAATTGTAGGGAGTACGCACATCTCTTCTGATAACTTATCGTGTTTATACAGGGTGTTATGTAATACCTGCCTCTCACCTCTTCTTTTCGGATAGAGCGGACTAGACCGAGTCGAAAAGTCCTCTACCATTTTGCAGTTTTCGCAAAAGTTAACGAGTTATTAATTATTAAAAATCGCTGTCTTGGCCCGGCCCACCGCCCAATTCAGACGCACGGCGAGATGCGGCCGTCCCACGATTGGCGTTGCTAGGCGCGCGGGGGAGTTGTTTGTGACACACGGCAACGGCTATCTATAATTTTACAACTTCCCGCGCGCCTAGCAACGCCAATCGCGGGACGGCCGCATCTCGCTGCGCGCTCGAATTGGGCGGTAGGCCGGGCTAGGACAGCGATTTTTAACAATAACTCGTCAACTATTGCGAAAATTGCAAAATGGTACGGGACTTTTCGACTCAGTCTAGTCCGCTCTGTTCGTAAATGAGAGGTGAGGCGGGTATTACATAACACCCTGTATAAGTGGAGCAGGACAGCATAACAAGCATCGAGGATAATGCAGTTTGTTTTCACGCGAAATTATTAACGGTTAAAATTCTTTGAAGAGTTAGGGTGAAAGGATTGGTCTCTTTTTAATGAGCAAAAAATGTGCTAAAGAATGGGATATCTAATGAGATGCTTTTTAAGCGTTATTAAAAGTCTGATAAAATGTGCGGCTCGCAATATCGAGCGAAATATTATTTCCCTTCGTTCATTGTCAACTGTACCAGTCGGTGGAACCGGTTTAAAAAACGCCAGAAACTTACACGGTTAATTTTTAATAATAAATGACGAAAGTAATTTAGAAAGTTTCTGTGCACTGAAGCTGCGCGATTTTAAATCGCCTTCTGATACGGCGTAAAAATAATAATTCCCCAGATCGGCAGACCACAATGTAGAAATCTCATACGCAACGTCTTTCCTCCGCGAAATCTTCCCCGTGTAACGGACGGAGCGGCGCGGCGAGCAAACGTCTATTGGTTCAACCCAGAGCACCATCGACGCGGTAAATGTCCAGGGAGCCGTTATTTCTCGTAGATAACAGTTGACGTTCCATGTGAGAGCAGTATCGTTCTATCCCTCCGTTCGCTTATTCCCCGCGCATTTCGTTGTAAAGTGATTTCACGGCGAAGAACGAGAAGAAACGGCGGTGAGTTAAAAAGACGAATTGAGGGTAGGGAGGGAGGAGCCAGGGGAGAGGGATGAGCGCAATAATCGTCATGCATCCAGCGTGTATCGGCGAGCGGTTGCATTTGCTAGGCCGCGGTAATAAACTTTTATCTCGCGACGCGTACACGTATTCGTGGCGAGCGCTCTCCTCTCTTTTTCACCATTTTCGCGCCCGCGTCCTTCTCTCTGTCCGGTTGGCGCGGGTAGGAAGAAGGGGATGGTCGCAAGGGATAGAAAGTGCGACGCGCGCGCGGTGAAAAGGGGGCTTTTGCCATCCCGTACGTCATCCCCCAACGAGATAAAAACTTTAGCGCTCGTTGTTGGAAAAATGTGGCCACCGCGTGGGACTGCGAAGAGACGGAGAGAGAGAGAGGGAGGGGGGGGGGGTTGGGAGGAGAACGATGGTAGAAGCACCGCGAGAGAATCGCAGAAACTACCATCGCGCCATGGCCACGCGTCCGAGAGCGGACACGTCGTGTATCGCGCGGCGGAAACGACGCGTTGCGCGGGTTGAGAAATTTTTTTTAACATTACATTAGAGAGCGCACAACTATCGCGACTTGGTCGAGTTCGCGCGGGTCCTCGCGAGAGGCGGATAAAAGAACTTTTGGCGTGGAGCCCAGGCTTCAGCGATACATATCGC